TTTAAGAAGCTTTGCTTATAGACATACATTAGGGTGACCCACCATAAATTAATATCTCCAAATATCTCCACAATTACGCCACAATATTTATATATATGCCAAGCCTCAAATCAGTTTCACACAATTATAGTCACTAAATAAACGATCATGTTGTACTTAATAAGCTATGGCCATTAATCATCTATAAATAATACATTAATTGTTAATGCACTATCAAAGAAAACCTATTACAGATCGCGCCCCGCGGTGTAATAAAGAAATCCACAATTTATTACATGGAATATAGAAAATTAAAATAACACCAAGAGAAATAATTTGCGGGAGGAAAATGACCTAGATTTTATATTTAGCGTCAGAGAGAGAGAGAGAGAGAGTTAGAGAGAGAGAGAAAGAGGGAGAGACACACACACACACAAACTAAGTCATTTCGGGACTAACATACGGTTCAATTTTATTTCAATAATTCGCTTGCGCATAGGGGACTTTAGCTGTAAGAGAAAACAATAGTATCCGGATAAAGCTCACTCCTTGTCACGCACAACCGGGGAATCGAAACCACACCACTTGACTCCATGACAGACCCTATGATATAACGATCTCAGATGTTAATCTCCATATATAATTCGTGGCTGGGTGGTTAAGACGCTGGCTCGCTAGCCTGGAGGTCGGGTGTTCGATCCCTGCATTGGCCGAGAAAGTTCATCCCGATTTTCCGACGTGGTTTCCCCTTGTCAGTGGTGCAGAACGGAGGGCCTGACAAGGACAGCTGTCTAGTCCGAGTGTATACATTGGAATGCACGTAAAAGATCCCTTGGCAGTTGGAATTCGATATAAGAGTAGGCGAGAGTGCCGCTGCCTGGGCAAAATGTCCTCATAGCACACTGTATGGCGTATGCCCGTCTTCATTAGCCCAGTATAGGAGCAGAACAGTAGGACGTTAAACCTTATTTCATTTCATTTCATATACAAATCACCTCTTTGTCAAAATTGAAAGCGTGGGAAAACACTCGACGAAATTATATTTGTTCCTGAACACCATGGTCACCAAGTTACCCATTGTTCTATAACCCTATACATGATTGACGTATTTTTTTTAGGTATTTTTCTTGCTAATAATAAATTTACATTTAGATATGATCTTGCCAAAAAAATAAGTCATGTTCTCTACATCAAAGTAACAATAAATACACCCCGCCGTTCATTGATTCAATATCTTTATATGGTATTAAAATAGGTAAAGTAATTCTGAGGGACAGCTATAATCATAAAAGACAGCTTTACCAGGGATAGGTACTCATTGTAAGTTATTGTTTGTAGATATCCATAGATATTAGGAATATTTGCAGGCGGCAAAGAACAATAAGCGTTTCAGATTTAATGATCACGAGTACAAATGGGTAACAGGATCTTTTTTCGGATTGTTTATGCATAATTGATCAGCCTTATATTATCACCCCTTGTTTGTATCTGTTCTAAATTCTATTGACTGAATATCGATAGGTATATGATAGTTTCAATATATATAACACAAGGTACAATTTTATGGATACACAATTACCGAATTTATTACTATCAAATCAAGTGCTTGATAAAGACGAGAGGTTTCTTCGTCGAAACGTCGCATAGTAATAAACCCAGTAATTGTCTATCTATAAAAATTTACCTTGTGTTGTTAATATGTCTAATTACTAAATGTCTATCATGCCTTTATCGATAAGATCATGGTAATACCAATAATCCATACGGGAATGGGACGCAACAAGTAAATTCCAGTCCATAGAATTGTGACCTGTATATTCTAATCGGGTTGCCGTGTTAGACACATATACACTGTAAAAGACATTAATATTTAATAGGCGCGTAAAACTGAAAGAAAACAAAATATGTTGTCTTTTAGTTACTTTGATTCGAAAATAATGGATGTTTCCTCGAGGTTAATTCGGGCATACAGTTTAAATTGGAGATATATCTTAATTAAAAGTATGGTATTTTGTAGGATCTAGAAAGTCCCCCAAACTTAATACATAGACTAAAAATGATTTGTTAGTTGACAAGTTTGACAATAAAACATTTCGTCTGAGACAGGAAGCCATGGCATCTTAGTGACGATGATTCTGGTTCATTAACCAGGATGTCCCATGTTCGATCCCAACGGAGGACCTGACAAGGAGAAGCATAGAATTGTTTGGACAGGAACAAAATCAAACTCTACCCGGCTTGCGGATAAAAGAACCAACTTGATCCGGAAATGACACCAGTAGGTGCAGAAAAGGGAGAGAGAGAGAGGGAAAGAGAAATGCGATTTAACCTTCACTCGACACAAACTAGGTCATTTCGGGACAAACTTTTGGTACAATTTTATTTCAATAATTTGCTTGCGGGTAGGGGTCTTTAGCAGTAGGATAAAACCCATGAGGTTGGACAGGCGACCATACCCCTTGCCACGTACAAGTTAAGAATCGAAACCACGCCACTTGACTCTATGACAGACCTTCTGATCCACTCGGCTCACCATTCGGCTACCCATCCGTGCAGAATGTATTACTTACTAGGAGGACCACCCAGATTCCTACCTGCATGTCGTTTTTAAGGAAAACAAAGCCTCTTTTCACTATCTCGAAATGGCCAGTTATTAGATCACGTGTACGACGGGATATTAACCAAGGCACACGGAGAGAGGTTTGGACAGCCATTCCCCAATACCATTCAGATATCATGAAAAACAAATATTGTTTAAAAAAAAAAGATCTCAAAAGATTTCCTTTAGTTAAATACCAGCAAAAGAGAATCATCTTTGTTGATTTAGTCACTAATTAATGGACATTTATGATATTTTACCTACCGCGGAAAAATGAATGATTCGAAGTACTCAATAACGTACTGACTATAAGAGTCAGCAAGTCTAGTATTGATTGAGTAAACCCAGACCACACTAGTAAAACATGACATGTCTGGAACCCTGGTGACCACAGAAAGCACTATTGATACACGCTAAGAGATTAGAGAAACTGAGTGAGTAAGGAGAGGACTGACAATATGTCGTGCAATCGAAGGGTTCAGCAAACTGGGCCCAGTGTTTATGTCTTTAACGTAAGGCTGTCAGAGGGCTGGTGCCATGGGCATTATCCAAAGCTACCACGTTGTCTAGAGTACTCCGTGACTGTCATTCTAGGTACTGTTCCTTGATTTCTTTTCCGGTTTGAATTTGGTCTGTGAATGATCTCCCACTTTGAAATCCAGGCAGCTTCTCTCTACATTGTTCATCAATCGCAAATTTGATCTTCTCCAGAATAACCCGTGGTCGTGATAGAAACTGAGTTCATTTTTGGGCATCTTTCCAATGCACCCCAAGTTCCGCATCTTTCGTCTGCTACACAGCTTGGCAGAGGTCAAGCAATATGGCGCCAGGACCCCGTGGAATTTTGTAGGAATTATCTGGACCTTGTGCTACTAATGTCTTCTTTGGTTGCTGCTCGAATTTCAGTATTGACGTTCTCTTCGACACAGCAAAGAAATGAAAACATTCTGAAATTACAAAAAAAACTCGTGATGTTAGACAGGCAATCCCACTCCTTCGCAATCTTCAACTGAATCGGTGGCAGTCCCAAGATAAGGGACATTAGATCACTAGCTACAAATAGTCATAAAAGAATCTGTCGACAGTAGTTTTTGACTGGATAAATTAAACCAGATGTTTTAGTTATAACACATGATATACACTCCAATACACATAACGCGCAGTGTTTCTAAACTCTGACAACTATTAGTTATAACACATGATATACACACCAATACACATAACGAGCAGTGTTTCTAAAGTTGACAATCATTAGTTATGCCACGTGATATACACTTAATACCCATAACGATACCCATAACGCACAGTGGTTCTAGACTTTGACAATCATTAGCTTTTACATACGATACATAACGATACACATAACATACGATACATAACGATACACATAACATACGATACATAACGATACCCATAACGCACAGTGGTTCTAGACTCTGACAAGCATTAGCTTTAACATACGATACATAACGATACACATCATAACATACGATACATAACGATACACATAACATACGATACATAACAATGCACATAACGCACAGTGGCTTTAGACTCTGACAATCATTAGTTCTTTTTTGTAAATCCATTTGTTTTTTTACTGAAGCCTGTATCATAACAGGCCCGGGACTTTACAGCGCAGTGGACGTTTACGGCTGGCTCCCGGATGCATTCACTTGATTTGATATTTGTTTATTTTTTGCAATGTCTATTTTTTGTCTTGTTGGCAGGTTTATCTTGTAGACTTTTGTTTGTTTTGCGTGTAGTGCGGTCCTTCTGCACTTTACTATACGATACTATACACATGACATACCATACATAACGATGCACATAACGCACAGTGGTTCTAGACTCAGACAATCATTAGATATAACATATGATACATAACGATACGCATAACACACAGTGGTTCGAAACTCTGACAATCATTAGATATAATTTATACGATACATAACGATACACATAACAATGTGATTCTGCCACTTTTGTTAAATAATAGAACAGTCCAACAGAAATACAAGATAAATCATTTATTGATACTTTTAATAAAAATAAATATATTTGTACTCTTTATGACAAAGCCACATGTGATATATACACGTTTTACTGCCAACGTCCAAAAGGCGGAGGGTGTGACTTCAAATTTACTTCTCCTTAAAGATTTGAAGGAGATTGGCAAAAGAATGTGCAAATTACTATTTTAATTTATTAAATCTGCGATTGGATTTACTTTTATTTTATACAAAATTTTAATTTTAATAATTACAATAAATTCTTACGTCATGAATTTTCCAGTGCCAAAAATATACCACCTGACTAATGGAATCTATGTGGTGGTGCAATCATTTGTAATCATTTTGAAAATAGACGTGGGTTTATATTACAAATAAATCAGATCAAAAAGGTTCCATGGGAAAACCCTTTCCGTACTATATATTGAACACCTAGGATTAACTGCGGGTCATACAGGACTAGACAGTCATTAGCTGTTGGAGGAAAGACTATCAGTATTAAATCCAACGCCAACTATGAGTTGTGATAATAGCGATCCGGTAAGCAACGTTTCAGATATTATGCCATTTATTGCTAGTCACATAATCGGCAACACCCGGAGAAATGAAACAGTTGTCTTAGGGCTTTATCCGACCTTAATATTTGCGAAATGTCTTGTCATGTGGTCATGTATATTTTGGCCTTTATGCTTTTTGTTCAGAGTACTTTTAGTGAAGTGTAAACTCGACTTTTACTCTGAATTGATGTAAGGTTAAAGTCACAGATTGCTTGGCTGTGACCCAGCAACAATTACTAGCTACTTTAGCTTTGAATTCATAAAGTTGTCCGTTTTAGAAGCCAAATCATAGACTAGATTTGTTGGGCTAAATAATTCCATGATACTGAAATATATACTAGTGATTTTGTATCGTCAAGCACTGCCGTGTATAATTTCTATTTGTAAAATGCTCTATGGTCATCACTTCTTTATTGGGAGTGTGGTGTTTTGTACTCTGCATGTTAAAAGAGCCAATGCAAGGAGCTTAATCATTCTGAAGAACTTGGGTGAACAAGACAAGGGTGATCTTTAACATGGTCTACTATGTTTTACGTGGTGTACAAAGAGTATGTAACAATACGAGTTCAATATTCGTTAATTTGTTGTTTCATATGCCTATTTCTTTTTGATTCTTTTCTATTGAAATATTTGTTTTTTTATTTCCTTATGATTTTAGTGTTGTTGCGACAGTTGTCTGTGTTTTCCTGGTTATGGCAATAGTATTGTCACCTTGGAGTCTGGCAAAACATTCATAGAAGACGTAAAGGTGGGTGACTTAGCCAAGGTGGTATTGGACGATGGAAGTTTTGGTTATTCAGAAGTTTGGACCTTGGGTCACCACAATCCAGATACAGAGACCAACTTTATCCAGATCGAGACAGAGAACAGACGTTTAAATATTAGCCCTCGACATTTTTTGGTGGTGAATCGGAACCACGAAAGGTTAGATGTAATGGCTAAAGACGTAAAGGTAAGTCCCAATGTGAATTACATGATAAATCTTTAATCATTGAAAGGATGGATTTTCCGTTCGTTTAAAATATCCAGCTGTCCGCATTCGTCCTGCACCGCAGCCAGTAAACTATCTCAATTATTGATAATACTATTACGCTCCACTGCGCCATTTTAGCGCTACAGGAATCACTACATTTCTTATAAAATTTATTTTGTGTTTTTGTTGTAGGTTGAAGATGAGTTAATTGTTTATGACCAACTACTGTACAAGGATGCCGCTGGAACTGAAGAAGTGGTCGACATTGAAGTCATTGAAGGAAAGGGCGTTTTTGCGCCTTTCACCAAACAAGGTCGTCTTATTGTAAATGGTGTATTGGTGTCATGCTATGCTGAGGTTAATCCTTCGCTTGCTCACGCGGCTTTGGCGCCACTCAGAGCTATGTACGATGTTACACCAACTGCTGTCATGGATAGGGTTATGACTCATAACGCAAACGGGGTTCCATATGTGTTTGAAAGAACGTTTAATGTTGTAAAAACTGTTGTTACCGAGTAGCCACTGGGATTATTTTATTTTACCAATAATAGAGATACATTAAGGATTCATGTATGAATATATTTATTCATTCTTATTAGGTGAATATTATTTAATTCTTTTTTATACGCTGGTCCGTCCGTTAGAATTATGTTATTTCCTTTTATACGCCCACATTTTTATGTTTGAATATATCTATTCATTCTTATCAAGTGAATATTGTTTAATTCTTTTTATAAGCTGATCCGTCCGTTAGAATTATTTTATTTTTTAGTTTGTATTGAAGATTTTATTGTTAAAGAATTTTGCAGTTTTTCTAAAATTAAAATGATTCTTTGTTATAAATTTATTTGTTTATTGTTAATACCCCCACCGTATAAATATTATACTGAGCGATGATTCTTGTTCTCTAATTGAAAAGGACGTCACGGTGCCTAAGTGGGTAATACACTGGCTCGCTGGGTGTTTGATCCCTGCATTGACCGAGCAAGTTCATCCAGATTCTTCCTTATCAGTGATGCAGGATGGGAGGACCTGACAAGGACAGCTGTCGTTCGGATGGGATGAAAAACAGTTGGAAGTCGATATAAGAGTGGGCCGTAGTGTCGCTGCCATGGCAAAATTTCCCTCATGGCATATGCCCGTCTTCATTAGCCCAGTTCGGAACAGTAGAACGTTAAACCTCATTTCATTTCATTTCTAATTGAAAACCTGTTGAGGTCAGAAGACGGGTTATCTTAAAAGCGATTACCCGTTGATAAAATAGTGTTTTAATTTAAAAAAAAAACCAATGCCAAATTGTGCAGCCCTAATGTTACTTGAAACCATAGTGGCTCTCTGAATATTGTGCTGCCTCTTTAACCCGGGGTTCTCTGGTTCGATCCTGGTGTTGGCGGAATGGTTACTCGGGATTTTGTGGGTTGGTTTCCCCCTGGTCAGAAATTAAAAAAAGGAACAATGTCTAGTCATTCGGACGGGCCGAAAAACCGAGGTACCATATACACATTATCGTTTGCGTAAAAGAATCCCCACGCCTCTGCTTGGTTAAAATTCCCTAATGTCACAAAAAGTCATCTGTGATTCAATGGAATAGTCATCTGAAATTCAGCCAAATAGTCATCTCAGATTCGGCCAAATAGCAATCCGGGATTTAGTCAAATATTCATCTGGGATTCAGTCAAATAATCATCTGTGATTCAGTCAAATAGTCATCTGTGATTCGGTCACTTAGTCATCTGGGATTCAATGAAATAGTCATCTCAGATTCAGCCAAATAGTCATCTCAGATTCAACCAAATAGTTGAGTGCGAGTTTCATGAGTTTGGCAGTGGGGGAATACCCATAGAAAACCCACAAGGATAGACAGGCGAACTCGTTATGTACAAGGGTGGGATTGAAATCATACAGCTCGACTAAATGACAGGTTTAGATATAAGTTCTGTTCGGTAAAAATTTTTTAGGGCGGGGGTGGGGGGATCTCGTGCTTTATCGCACGTGCTTGAAATCATAATGTCTGCCATTGAGTAAAGTGGCGTGGTTTCGATCCCCGCCCGTACGTGACAAGGACTAGGGTCACCTGTCCGTCCGTCCTCCGATTTCGTCCCATTGCTAAAAACCTAGATATAAGCGAATTGTTGAAATAAACTTTAACCATGTGTTAGTCCCGAAATGACCTAGTGTGTGTGGCGTGGACGTTACCTCCGCCCTATCTCTCTCTCTCTCTCTCTCTCTCTCTCATCTTACTTTGACAAAGACTGTTACTTTAATGGACGTATATTCATGCTCTCTTTCTCTCGGTTTACTGCGGGAATTCCATATAAGTTCTTTTCGAGTCAAATACATTTTCCTCTTCCTTGAATTATATTCAAATTTGTAAGAATTGTTTGGGAGGGGGTGGGGTCTAGAGGTATAATGCATGTGCATGAAATCGTAAGGTCTGTCATTGAGTCAAGTTGCGTGGTTTCAATTCCCTGCCTGTACGTAACATGGTGTAGGATCGCATGTCAAACCTTAAGGGTTTTCTCCGGGCCCTCGGGTTTTCCCACTGCTAAAGCCCTGTAACACCCAGTGAAACAATTCATACACTGAATGGTATCATATTACAAACCTTTATGGAAGTAATATTTGAAAAAAAAACCAATTCATTCTTACAAAGTTTAAGCCCCCGTCACACACAACTAGTCCTCACTACGTTCTGGAAAATGTTGGCAAACGGGCTCAAAATGTGTGCGAGCGGAGTGGACGTAGTGAACGTACTGGCAACTGTTTACGATCTGTTTAATAACTCTGTGGACGATCAGGTTCTCTAGAACTTTGAACCTGCAATTAAACGGAATTGCCATACTACGAACGGAATTACATTGTACTTCTATCCTACTAGGGACGTGTTACAATGGTAGCGCATCAATAAACAGTACTTTCTTTATTTAATTTTATTTCGTGGGTTTTGTCTTATTGTATATAATATATCTTTACTAGTATTGAACTTGAAGGGTTGTGTTACTTATTCATTTGATAGAGAATAAAACCATGGCTATTTAGACTTTTTTTGCATAATTTAAAAACCTGTAATTTATACTTAATCAATTTTTAATGTTACTGCATGCAATTATAAAACCTTTCATATTTGAATTTATTTTTAGTGTGTTGATTGATTTATTTCTATAATTTAATATGGCGGGAGTTCAATGGAGCCATCTTTTTAGCTATGAATGGTTGTACATCTGGGCACCAGACTTGCTTCCATAACCATCAACGTCTACTATCTGCATGAATTTTGTAATCTGCATCTACCAAGACCATTAACACTGTTGAGCAGAAGCCTTTGTAGTTGTGGTACATGGTTCCAGTCTTGGGTGGCTTTCTGGACTATATGTTTCCAATCCTGGGTACCACAGGAATACGGGACATTTCAGCGCACTGCGAACTCTCAAGCAGCTCCGTTCCATGTGTCTTTGACAACGGAGCAGAGCAGATGATGACATCACTTTTGAGTTCCATTACCAAGGCATCACGGACTTCTTTCACCAACAAGCATATTGTGTTTCTTACTACCCGGAAATTATATCGAAATGAGAATCTCCTGTTGTGAGATGACGCAGTGTGATGGTTTAGCTTCATCTTGGTTCCAGATAGTCGGTGTCTCGTGGTGATACGTTTTCAAGACGTTGATCAAACATGGGAGGGGTGATTCGCAAGACGTTGAAGAAGTACTCTTGATTATCCAAACGGAGCCCCTCCATCTGCAGATAACAATGTGCCACAGCTTTTTTCAGCCAGTATCTCACACAACTGTTTCTTGGCTTTCCCCTTATTTTCGCTTGTTCTACCATTGCACTGTAATCTTGCTTGCAACAGAAGATGCATGAACCCAGTGGAGCTACAAATGGCCCCGGTCGTTCTGTTATTTGATGCTGGAACAGGCCACATTGTTACACGTCCTTAGTAGGGTCGAAGTATGGCAATTCCGTTCATAGTACGGCAATTACGGCGACAATTCCGTTGGTAGTCGCTCCATCTAATCGGAGAAAGGGGAAAATTGTGAACAGACTCAAAGTTCTAGAGCATCTTCCCGTCCATGAATTTCATAAGCAGATCATAAACAGTTGCTACTACGTTTAATAACGTTAGTTTCAGCCGGTTTGGCAATTGTTTCCAGAATGTAGTGAGGACTAGTTTTGTGTGATGGGAGCTTAAAGACGTTCGCGTGAGTTATTAAAATAAAAATTAACCAAGTGTTAATAACCATTTGTGTCGAGTGGCGATTAAAATTTGTAAGTTTTGTTTTAGATATTAAGATATTCATCCGTAAAGGTTTGTAATATGATAACATTTATGTAAAAATTTCTTTAATGGGCATCCCCTATTTTAATTCTTCTTGGTCGGATTCTAAAATAGATACAGCCTCTTGTGTTATACCTGTATTTATTGATTATAACAATGTCACATCTGTTACTCGAACAGCCTCGAAAGTGGAAAAACCAATTTTACGTGTGATTAATGTAATTTTAATGGTTGGATTATTTATTTGTAACCATTTAAAGAATAGGCGCGGATTTGTAAATTGAATCTGAGCAAAACGGTTCAGTACTATATATTAAACAGCGAAGAGTAACCGCGGGACATAAAGCGCAAGACAGTCTTTTACATAGGAGGAAAGAATATCAGAGTTAAACCAAACAGCAACCATGACTACTGATAACAGCAATCCGGTAAGCAAAATTTCGAATATTTCAAATATTATTAGTGGAGTTTGTAATTAAAAATAATTATACTTTAAAAACAGGAAGTCATCGTAGAGTTTTCACTTTATTTATTGCTAGTCACATAATCGGCAACACCCGAAGAAAAACACCTGTGTCAATACCCGTCAGAAAAATTTACTTATTGTCTTCTTGTGAGGTCATTGGCCATTATACTATTTGTTCAGAGTACCATGAGTGAAGCTTTAAACTCGACTTTTACTCTGAAATGATCCAAGGTCAAAGTCACAAATTGCTTGACTGCGAACCAGGAACAATTACTAGATACTAGCTGTGAATTCATAAAGTTGGTCCGTTTTGAAAGCAATATCATAGACTAGATTTATTAGCCTAAAAATTACATGATGCTAGAATTTGACTGGTATAGTGTTGAATTATTTATGCAGAAAGTATTCATTAGTTTAGAATTTATACTAGTGACTTTGGATCGCCAGACACTGTCGTGTATAATTTCTATTTTTAGAAAACCTTATGCCCACTGCTTCTTTATTCGTGTTAGGTATGGGTGTTTGTACTTTGCATGTTAACTGCGGAACCTGATAAACAAGACAATTTTGTTTTGCAATATTGTCTATGGGTAACAATTGTAGTTCAATATTGTCAACTTAATGTTTTACCAGATTTATCCATAATACCCCCTTCAGACTGGGTCGGAAACGCCAGATATCGTGCTGTGGTCTTCATGGTCGTGAATGATCGCTGAGTCACGGCGTTTGTTTTAAGCATGTTCAAAACAATCGCCAAGGTTCTGCGATCTAACCTGGAAAGTTGTGGGTGGCGTTCTTACTGCGCTGCAGCGACCGTACGGCGACCAGAAAATGCACAAGGTCGCCGGCAAACGTGAACATAACGTGCGAAAATGTCCCAAAATATTACAAAATATTTTCAGGGCAGATCGCAGAACCTTGGCGTTTGTTTTGAACATGCTCAAAACAAACGCCCTGACTGGCGATCATTTGCAACCATCGAGACGACAGCGCGATATCTGGCGTTTCCACCACGCTTTTACCACGCTTATGGCGATCTTGACGCGCTCTGGGACCATTTTCCGTCGCCGTAGCAGCGCAGTAAAGGCGCCACCCCGGCCTGACGGGGGTATTATAACGCGACTTTTTTCAAGTTTGTAATTTTTTGGGACATTTTCTCGCGTTGTGTTTACGTTTTCCGGCGATTTTGTGTATTTTCTAGTCGCTGTATGGCTCCAACAGCGCAGTAAGGACGCGACCGGTCTGACGGGGGCATAAGGCATGTTTTTTTTTTCCATCTTAAAAATGAAGCTCGTATATTTCTTCTTCACTCCTGTCTATTGAAATATATGTTTGTTTATGTCTTTATGATTTTAGAATTGGTGTGACAATTGTCTGTGTTTTCCTGGTTATGGCAATAGTATTGTTACCTTGGATTCTGGCAAGAAATACATAGAAGATGTAAAAGTGGGCGATTCGGCCAAGGTGGTGTTGGACGATGGAAGTTTTGGTTATTCAGTTGTTTGGGCCTTGGCTCACTACGATCCGGCTACAGAGACCTACTTCATTCAAATAGATTTAGAGAACAGACGGCTTAATATTAGCCCAAGACATTACCTGGTTGTGAATCGGAACGGCAAAAGGGTGGATGTAATGGCCAAAGATGTTAAGGTAAGTTCCATTGTGAATTACGTTATAAATCCTTTACTATGGGAAAAATGGAGCGTTAGTTTTTTTAAAGATCCAGCTGTCCACATTCGTCCTAAACCATAACCAGTATTGTTGATATTTTAAAGATGTTTGCCAGTACCGTTGCTACGATAATAAACGATCTACCCACATCTTCAAACAGTTATAACTTCGCTCAGAATAAAGTAATTTAAATGAAATTTTCTGTATATTCAGTTTTGATTATCTATTTTTGAACTATTAAAGCAAGAATGGCATTATTATATAACGCATCTTTAAATGAGGAACTACACATTTCTTATAGGATCAGAACACAGTAGGGCGTTGAATCCCATTCCCTTTCATTTCATTTCTTATAAATATTTATTTTATGTTCTTGTTGTAGGTTGGAGATGAGTTAATAGTTTATGACGAGCTACTATACAAAGATGCTGCAGGAACTGAAAAAAGTGGTCGACATTGAACTCGTTGATGGAAAGGGCGTTTTTGCGCCTTTCACCAAACAAGGTCGTCTTATTGTAAATGGCGTATTGGTGTCATGCTATGCTGAGGTTAATCCTTCCCTTGCTCACACAGCCTTGGCTCCACTCAGAGCTATGTACGATGTTACACCAACTGCTGTCATGGATACGGTTATGACCCATAACGCAAACGGTGTTCCGCATGTGTTTAACACAACGTTTAATGTTGTAAAATCTCTTGTTACCGAGTAGCGACTAGGATTATTATATAGCGCTGCATTATGTCCAATGCAATGGTCATTTCTAAGCGCTGTTCAGCCACATTGTATATTAAGTGGAAAGTATCTCTAGAGTATTTTTATGATCACATTTTATACGCTTAGAATTATTTTATTTCTTTTTAGTTTGTATATAAGATTCTATTGTTAAAGAATTTTGAGGTTTTTCTTAAATTAAAGTTTATAGTCTGAATGGTTCTTTGCTAATATCCTCCAACCGCACCCCACCTTATCAATATCATCATGAACAATGAGTGTTGTTCTCTAATTGAAGACCTGTTGAGTTCAGGTAAGTCCCAAATTTAACCGGGTACCTGTTAATAAAAGTATGTTTAAATCTACAATATAAAATGACAAAATGTGTAGAAACAGCCCTAATGTTATTTGAAACCGCAGTGGCCCCATAAGTAACTCGGAGATCCAGGGTTCGATCCTGGTGTTGTCAGAGAAGGTTCCTCAGGATTTTCCAGTGTGTTTTTCCCTGGTCAGTAGAGCATGAAAAGGAACAGTGTCTAGTCGGTCGGATGAGACGAGAACCCGAGGTCCCATATATACATTGAGGTTCACGTCTGGGTAAATTGATCTAATGTCACAAATTGTCATCTGGGATTCAATCAAAGATTCAGCCAAATAGTCATCTGGGATTTAGCCAGATAGTCATCTGGGATCCAGTCTAAGATTCAGCCAGAAAGTCATCTGGAAATCAGCCAAATAGTCATCTGGGATTCGGTCTAAGATTCAGCTGAATAGTCATCTGAGATTCATCCAAACAACCATTTTATACCCTGGGATTCGGTCATCTGGGATTCGGTCTAAGATTCAGCTGAATAGTCATCTGAGATTCATCCAAACAACCATTTTATACCCTGGGATTCGGTCATCTGGGATTCGGTCTAAGATTCAGCTGAATAGTCATCTGAGATTCATCCAAACAACCATTTTATACCCTGGGATTCGGTCATCTGGGATTCGGTCTAAGATTCAGCTGAATAGTCATCTGAGATTCATCCAAACAACCATTTTATACCCTGGGATTCGGTCATCTGGGATTCGGTCTAAGATTCAGCTGAATAGTCATCTGAGATTCATCCAAACAACCATTTTATACCCTGGGATTCGGTCATCTGGGATTCGGTCTAAGATTCAGCTGAATAGTCATCTGAGATTCATCCAAACAACCATTTTATACCCTGGGATTCGGTCATCTGGGATTCGGTCTAAGATTCAGCTGAATAGTCATCTGAGATTCATCCAAACAACCATTTTATACCCTGGGATTCGGTCATCTGGGATTCGGTCTAAGGTTCAGCTGACTAGTAATCTGAGATTCATCCAAACAGTCATTTTATATCCTTTGATCTGATGACTTAACACCAACAGTTATAACTCTACTTCAACACAACATGAACACCATCACCTACCATGGTCGTTTATTGCCAATTGGTGTGATCGAGAGGGAATGGGTTTTAACACCCACATCCACTAGGTCATTTTGGGACTAACATATGGCACAACTTCTCTTTTCAAACATTAGCTGGCGTTCATAGGTCCTTAGCGGTGGGGCGGTGAGTTGAGTTAGAATACCCGGAAAAAAACCCACGAGGTTAGGCAGGCGGCCTCGTCACGTAGAAGGGGGTGATCAAAATCACACAGCTCGACTAAATGACAGCGTTTAGCCCCCCCCCCCCCTCCAACACCCGTAGTAAAATAATATAAGTTCTTTTCTATTCGAATATACCTTTCGTGTCCTTTAATTACATTTGAACTTGTAAGAATTGTTTTTGTTTTCAATATTAAGATATTACTTCCATACTAGCATTCAGTTTATAATCCTATTTTTTATATTACTATTATTTCAATTACATAGTCAGGTTCTAAAATAGATATTACGCCTTAGATTATATTCTAATCATATCAATGTCACATCAATGTTATTACCATGAAAGCTACTTGAACAGCCACGCAATTGGGAAAACCAATGTTACGTGTGAATTTTCATTGGTTGTAGGACACCAGACACATTCCTACCTAGTTGCACTCGACGGCCAGGCGTGAAAACCCCTGATAAAGCCCACTAAAGCAGTACTTTTTTATTATTATTTATTGCCGTTGTCTTTAACATTTTTTATAGTCAGCAAATATCGCACTTTATCTGTGGCTATGTCTTGGACCAAATATTCAAGCGAAACACCACCGAAAAGAAGGGAAACACAATTTCGTAATTACTAGTAATTCTTGATTGATATACTTAGCATTCTTGCACGTGTTCCACAATTTCTTGAGATATTTCAGAAAAAGCATGAGACTGAAATGCAACCCTACTCCGGGTTAGGTAAAATCCCAGTGCTAAACCCCGAATCAAATCGGGGTCATTGCAGTCCTAACGCAACGTTTTTGATCCAATAGTAATTATAATTAAAAGTAAGGGTCGGAGGTAAACTGCCAAATCTGAGTCCAACATAGCCGCCGCATAGTAATGAGTCTATTTTCAACATGGGGTTAGGGTTAGGATTATAATAATTATATACGGTGGCCTTGTTGGTGTCAACCTGGGTCCTAATTGCCTCTTACCAAAACCTCTAAACTGACAAAACATCGGGTCGAAGGAGTGGGTAGGGAGGAAGTAATTATTATTTTTCTAAACGAGGCTTTAGGCGATCTATTCGCACCAGCCTAAATTGTTTATATTTCATTCCAAATTACAATCCGTTTAAACTTACATGTCTTTGTATTCAATCTATAACACGTTATATACACTTCAATACACATAACGTAAGTGCTTCCAAACCCTGACAATTATTAGTTATAACACGTGATATATAGATCAATGCAAATAACGTATAGTGATTTTAGACTATGGCAACCGATGAGTGCAATATCACAGACAGCAAGATCAACCAAGCATATTGAATTTCAAAATGTAAATGACTGACAGTCTATCAATCATTCGGGAGATCAGACAGCCAATTAAAACACTGCAAAGATTTACTATCTTGACTCAGGAATATGGAAAACTGGAACAGGGACATAATCAATTAAACTACCTGAAGTCGTACTTTACCTATGACTCAGAATAATTTGGGGAAAAAGCACAACGAAATACATTTAAGGTAACGTTGATTCCCTAATAATTTTTCAACGCCATGCCTTACCTAAAGATATACACGGTACACCATATACGACCAGACTGAGCAGTGGATTGGTTCTAATATCAAACCTAATAGGTGACACCAACGCAAATGAACACCTTATCGTAAACCGTTCATATACTTAACATTAGAGCCATAAAATTGTATATATATCGTATATATGATTATATAGACTTGATAGGATCACCACGATTATCTCGCGATTAAAACCACGATTTCAATCGTAGCGCGAATCTTGATATTGGGAACCTAGCATTAAAATGTTTATACAGTATTATCCTAACCGCATCGAATTCAAATGAACAATTTAAATATAGGTATCGTAAGTTCAATGTACTTGTCGTACAAGATGTGAAGGGATTTGGCACGGTTGGATTTACTATTATTGTATACTAAATTCATTACAATAAATTCTTACGTCATGCATTTTCCAGTAAAAATATACCATGTGACAAATGAAATCTATGTGGTGGTGCAATTCTATGTAGATAGGCGTGGTTTTATATTACCAATCAATCAAATCAAATAGGTTGAATGGGAAAACCCTTTCAGTAGAATATATATTGAACAGCCAGAAGTAACTTCAGGACATAGCGCTAGACGGTCATTTAAGTTGAAGGAAAGAATATCAGTGTTAAACCCAACAGCAAATATGAGTTCTGACAACAGCAATGGGGTAAGCGAAATTTAAAATATTTCAAATGTTATTAGTGGAGTGTGCAATTAAATATAATTTTATTTTAAAAACGGGTAGTCATTGTATAGTTTCCATGTCATTTATTGCTAGTCACATAATCGGCAACACGCGAAGAAAAGAAACGTGTCTTAGGACTATATCCGTCGGAAATATTTGCAAGCCGTTGTCTCATGCGGTCATATATATATATATATATATATATATATTGGACTTTTTGCTATGATTGTGTTCAGAGTACCATGACTGTAAACGCGACCTTTACTCTAAAATGATGTAAGGTTATTGTCACAGATTGCTTGGCTGTGACCCAGCAACAATTACTAGCTTATAGCTTTTAATTCATAAAGTTGGTCCGTTTTAAAAGCCAAATTATAGACTGGGTTTGTTTGACTAAATAACTAGATGATATTAGAATTTGACGCATGTAATGTTGAGTTATTGATGTAGAAAGTACCCATTCGTTTATAAGTAGTGACGTTGAATCGCCAGGCACTGTCGTGTATATTTTCTATTTTTAGAACACCTTATGCCCACTGCTTCTTTGTTCATGTTAGGAGTGTGGTGTTTTGTACTGTTCATTATTAATAGCACCCAAGGAACTTAAACATTCTGAAGACCTTGGGTGAACTTGACAAGAGTGTTCTGTAATATTGTCTATGTTTTACAGGTTGTACAAAGAGTCTGTAGCAATAATACTTCAATATTGTCAACTTATTATTTTACCAGATTTTTCCATAGGGCATATTTGTTTTTTCCCATCCACAACATGTAGCTCGCCTATTTAAATTTCTTCTTCACTCCTGTCTATTGAAATATATGTTTGTTTATTTCTTTATGATTATAGAATTGTTGTGACAACTGTCCATGTTTTCCTGGTTATGGCAATAGTATTGTCACCTTAGAATCGGGAAAAACTTACATAGAAGACGTAAAAGTGGGTGATTTAGCCAAGGTGGTGTTGGACGATGGAAGTTTTGATTATTCAGAAGTTTGGACCTTGGCTCACCACAATCCAGCTACAGAAACCAACTTTATCCAGATCGAGACAGAGAACAGACGGCTAAATATTAGCCCTCGACATTTTTTGGTAGTGAATCGGAACGACGAGAGAATAGATTTAATGGCGAAAGATGTTAAGGTAAGTTAAAATGTGAATTACACTATAAATCTTTAATCATTGAACAGATGGATTGTCTGTTCGTTTAATAGATCCATCTGTCGCATTGGTCCTAAACCACAGTCAGTAAACGATCTGAAATATTGTTGGTACTTGAAAGGTGTTTGAAAACAGTGTTGCTACGATAATAAACAGTCAACCTCGCTGAGAATAATTAATTTGAATGAAATTTTCAATATATTCAGTTTTCATTATCTATTGTTGAACTATTATAGCAAGAACGGCATTATTATATAATGCATCGTTAACGAGAGACTACATATTTCTTATCAATATTTGTTTATTTTGTGTTTTTGTTGTAGGTTGGAGATGAGTTAATCGTTTATGACGAGCTACTATACAAAGATGCTGCCGGAACTGAAAAAGTGGTCGACATTGAAGTCATTGAAGGAAAGGGCGTTTTTGCGCCTTTCACCAAACAAGGTCGACTGATTGTAAATGGTGTATTGGTGTCATGCTATGCTGAGGTTAATCCTTCCCTTGCTCACACGGCTTTGGCGCCACTCAGAGCTATGTACGATGTTACACCAACTGCTGTCATGGATACGTTAATGACCCATAACGCAAACGGTGTTCCGCATGTGTTTAACACAACGTTTAATGTTGTAAAATCTTTTGTTACCGAGTAGCGACTAGGACTATTAAATTTTCTCAAATGATAAAGACACATTAAGGATTAATGCATAATTAAAATTATTCATTCCTATTCAGTGAATATTATTTTATTCTTTTTTATAAGCTGATCCGTCCGTTAGAATTATATTTATTTTCATTTAGTTTGTATATAAGATATTATTGTTAATCTTTTGCGGTTTTTCTTAAAATAAAGTTTATAGTCTGAATGATTTTTTGTTATAAATTTATTTGTGTATTGTTAATATCCCCCAACCACACCCATACTAGCAATATTATCATGAGCGATGAGCATTGTTCTCTAATTGAAAACCTGTTGAGTTCAGAAGTCAGGGGCTATCTTGAAGGAGAAGTTTCAGATTTCACCGGGTTCACGTTGAAAAAAAGTGTGTTTAAATCTACAACACAAATTCCAAAATGTGCAGAAACAGCCCTAATGTTACTTGAAACCGCAGTGACCCAATGAATAATGCACTGGCTCGCTAACTCGGACATCCCGTGTTCAATCCTGTGGTTGACAGAGAAGGTCGTCAGTAGTTCAGGAAAGAGGGCCTGGCAAGGTACAACGCCTAGTCGTTCGAATGGGACGAAAACCAGAGGTTCCATTTAGACATTGGTGTCCGCGTAATAGAACAGGCCGTAGTGCCGCTGCCTAGATAACGTGCCGTAATGTCACAAATAGTGATCATCTGGGATTCAGTCAAATAGTCATCTGGGATTTAGTCTCAGATTCAGCCAAATAGTCATCTGGGAATCAGCCAGATAGTCATCTGGGAATCAGCCAGATAGTCATCTGGGATTCAGAATAAGATTCAGCCAAATAATTATCTGGTATTCAGCCAAATAATCATCTTTGAAACAGCCAAATAGTCATCTGGGATTCAGAATAAGATTCAGCCAAATAGTCATCTGGGATTTAGCCAAATAGTCATAATTATGGGATTCAGTCTAAGATTCAGCCAAATGGTCATCTGGGATTCCGTCTAGGATTTAACCAAATAATCAGCTGGGATTCATCAAAACAGTTATTTAATAACCTTTGATCCGATGACAAAACACAAACAGTTATAGCTGTACTTCCAAACAAACCCGAACACCATACCCTAACCTGTCTATAATTGTCAATTGGTGTGATCGAGAGGGAATGGGTTTTAACACCCACGCCCAATAGGTCATTTCGGGACTAACATATGGTACAATGTTTTTTTTTCTCGAAAATTAGCTGGCGTTCATGAATCTTTAGCATTGGGGTGGTGAGTTGAATTAGAATACTCGGAGAAAACTCACGAGGTTAGGCAGGCGATCTCGTCACGTACAAGGTAGGGATCGAAATCACACAGCTCGACTCAATGAACCCCCATCCCCACCACCATCTGCACCCGTAGTAAAATAATATAAGTTCTTTTCTATTCGAATATATCTTTCATGTCCTTTAACTACATTCGAAGCATTGTCTCTTTTTTAAATATTAAAATATTACTTCCATAAAGTATTGTAATATGATAACATTCACTGTAGGGGTTGCTTTACTGGGAATCCCATTTTTTAATATTATTATTCTTTCAACTGCATGGTCAGGTTCTAAAATAGATATTACGCCTTAGATTATATTCTAATCATATCAATGTCACATCAATGTTATTACCATGAAAGCTGCTCGAACAGCTACGCAATTGGGAAAACCAATGTTACGCGTGAATTTTCATTGGTTATAGGACACCAGACACATTAGTTATACATGACATAACATTCCTACCTAGTTGCACTCGACGGCCAGGCGTGAAAAAACCCCTGATAAAGCCCACTGAATCAGTACTTAGTTTCTCTATTTATTGCCCCTGTCTTTTACGTTGTCAAAAAATATTGCACTTTAGCTGTGGCTATGTCTTGGACCAAATTTTCAAGCGAAACACCCCCGAAATGAAGGGGCAGCACAATTTCGTGACTACTTGTAATTCTTGATTACAGTAGTTAGCATTCTTGCACGTCTCGCACAATTTCTTGAGATATTGTAGAAAAGGCATGAGATGGGGACATTGCAGCCCTAACTCAAAAGTAACGGTCGGATGTAAATTGGACTCAAATTGAATCAAACATGGCCGCCGCATACTAATGAGTCTATTTTCAACACGGGGTTAGGATTATAATAATTATATACGGCGGCCATGTTTGACTCAACTTAGGTCCAAATTACCTCTAACCAATAGTAACCGAAGATTAAAATTGACGAAAAATCAGGTCGAACGAGCGGGTAGGGAGGTGTTAATCATTATTTTCCTAAACGGGGCTTTAGGCAACATATTCGCACCAGCCGTAATATTTTTATATTTCATTCCAAATTACAACCCGTTTAAACTTGCATGCCTTTGTATTCAATTCAATAATTATTCATATTCATGGGCATAATGCTAAAATAGGGAATGTCAATGGTAGGTTCTTAGAAGTGTTCAAATAGGGAATGCCAAAGTGGAATTTTCCATTATCCTAAGTGTGTTGCACAAATGGTGTTACTTAAATAGAAAACATAATGTGTGTTTGTGAAATTCCACTGAATTGATATCGCAGACCTTGAGAAAGCAAAATAGATAGCATGTCTAATCATAGGTATGACATGAATCAATTTAATTTAGATCCTACCAAACACGGTCACAGATTTAACAATACAATTTTCAGAAATTGTGAATACCAAATGTAGGCGTGATTGACACCTGACGAATTAACAACGGCTGATGTAATCTGTGTAAAGTAGACACAAAAATAATACATGAATCATACAATTTAATAGCTATTTTTTGGCAAATATTCAAGACGTTTTAAAGCTTGATTCCTTGGAGAATCGTGACTTGATCACTTAATCTGATATGTGCGTTTGTGTTGTTTGTAGTGGGTGTAAATTGTGTCATGTCCGTAGGTTTGTCTTGTGTATTTCTCTGCGTGTGGTGGGGAACCCTTTCCTTGCTATATAGATACTCTACCTGCTTAATAATGTATCTAAACTACCAAGATACATGATTGCAATTGACAACGCCAATTGTGATTTTCATGTTTACCATGTCCGCTCTTCTCAGACGGAGACCATATTTTCCCAAATTACAACTGTTTAAATCCCAACACATTCAGGAGGAAATAGTCATCGATATTTTATGACCTAATTTGTCATGATTAAATGATGTTTTAATTAGAATTGATATATGTGATAGCAGCCATATTTAAAAATATTAGATGCGAAAGATGGAAATTGTTGATTTTGTATCAAAAATACAGGATTTACAACATGAAATAACATAGGTTGTCAGTTATATATTAGGTTAACCTACATTCTATTGTCGATATTAAAAGGCGAACGGCATAATTTAAAGACTAATGCAAGGTATCGATAGGATTGTCCCTATTGAGTCCACGATCTGGTCCGTGAAGACACGTTCGGGTACGTTTCGATACGATCAACACGATTGCTACCAATGACCTCATTATTTGAAACGACCTGATACGATCACCACGACCACTCCACGATTAAATCACGATTTTAATCGCAACACGAATCGTGATAGTGGGAACCTGGCATGTATTCTCTCTGATGTATTCTCGACTGTATTCAGATGGTCACCATGGTTACTGGTTGACAGCTGAGACATCAACAGAACGATTGTTAATCATTTATTACCGGTTTAATACGCATTATAGGTCTATGATAATATTTTTCGTGGTCGTTAGAAAGTAGATATACGTTTTGGGACTCTACAGTCTGGCCCCAGTAACGCCAAAGGAATACAACTTTAAAGTATATCTTGTTCAGACAAATTGGGAATACCAGCTACGCATGTTACTTATGGTCAACGCGTGGTATTAAAATAAAAAAACCCAACAAAATTTGAAAGGGTAAATATTCTGTCTTAAACTCAGTACATACAGTGTAACTTATATAAATTTGTTTATAGAAAATGTATCGGTTAGATCTAGAATACGTATGTTTGCAAATATATCAATACAAAAACTTTGATAAGTACTTTCCAAGTGGGAATGGAGTGGAAACCACTTCACTTGACTCAATGGCAGGTCCTTTGTTCTAATGCACACACGTTAAACAATTCGGCCCACGTAAAATGCTATAATTAGCAAATGGTTATTATGGTCAGAATGTTCGAGAATGTGATTGAATTACAGATAAGATAAAACTTCTAAGGGTGTTTTTAAACTAGTATCAAATTTGCCCTCGTATAAATATCTGATAATATAGAGGGTTGGGTATGGGCTTGTCATGTGAATAAATTATGTAAAATAAAATAAAGACCCGAAACAGACAGAATTTGCTCATCCTTAAATGTTGGTGTATCTAAAGTACCATTCACTGTTTAAGATTAATATATATACACATATTATTTCAGTAATTGAATAAATTATCTCTAATAACATGCAATATTATATTCACTACCTACTTGAATGCCCAAATAAATCTGCCAACAGATTAAAATTGATTCATTTTAATCTGGTTTGGGTAATAAAAAATGTCTCTAATGTACAGGTAAATGGTCCTACACATTTCCTCGTTTTTGCCGCAAGGGTCCTATCCTATTCGTAGCAACCCAAATACCAATGTGGCACCATGGACACTTCTGTTCAGACTTCACGCTGACTACACGTCGGTTTTAATATTGACCTAAACACCAGCCACATATACTATCAGTGAACGTGGCTATTGTAAACTATAACTTCACTCTAGTCCCATGGTATCTGAAATGATGTCTATATATATATATCTATAGATATACAGGTTCAATTACTCACAATAATAATAATTGTTCAGATACC